TGGGAAGACATGCATATAGATTGCTTTCTCTCTTGCTGGGCGTACATGGAGAGATAATGATGAGTAACTGAGTTGCTTTTCTTTCATTGGTTGCAAGGGAGGTATGAGGCTGACTTGGTTTTAGATACATGGACAAGCAATCAGCTTGCTTTTTCCTTATCCTAGGCGCACATGGAGAGAGGGAATGAGGCAGATTTCGAACAAAAGCATAAGTGGTTAATTCTGCCCACTAGCATTGCATGCATTCTGATTCCTTTTGGTTAAATTAATGGATTTCAAGTTTTCAGATTGTTAAGATAAGTTACTTAATCAGCCAAGGGTTAGGATTAGAAGGGAATATGGCTGATTTAATGCTTCAATGATGAAGCTTGGGCTGCAGCCCATGGAGAAGAAATATGACTCACTTTAATGCCCTAATGAATATTATTTCATGTAACTACTAGATAGTAACTAAGGTGTATATATATATATATATATATATATATATATATATATATATTTATATTGATTATAATTCATCTTATCCTTCTTATGCTTGAAATTCGATCTCTTATCATGCATTCAGATTCATAATTGCATTTTAAATCAACTTCCTAATTATGCGGGTTGTTACACTCTCCCCACCAAAACATAATTTTGTCCGCAAAATTAGACTTACGTACATAATTAAAGAGTTCCGGATACCGATTCTGAATGTCGTCTTCACGCTCCCAGGTGGCTTCATACGCGAATTCATTGTTCCAAAGTACCTTCACCAACAGTATCTCCTTCGAACGGAGTTGTTTAACGGACCTCTCGAGAATTTGGAATGGTTGAACAGGATACGTCAGGTTTTTCTCTAACTCCACTTCTTTTGGCTATAGTACATGGGATGGATCAGAGAGATATCTTCTCAACTGCGACACATGAAAGACGTTGTGAATTCCCGATAAATTAGGCGGTAACGCCAAGCGATAAGCTGATTCTCCAATCCTGTCCAAGATAAGGTATGGTCCCAAATACCGCGGACTCAACTTCTTCGTCCTCATTCTCCTGCCAAGTCCAGATGTGGGTGTGATTCTCAGAAACACGTGGTCTCCCACTTCAAAAGATAAGGGTTTATGACGTTTGTCGTAATAACTTTTCTGCCTCGACTGAGCCTTTTGCATATTTTCCTTGATCCTCTGCACCTGCTCTGAAGTTTCCTGAATCATGTCGGGCCCCAAAATACTTTGTTCACCAACTTCTACCCAACATAAAGGAGTTCTGCATTTCCTCCCGTACAAAGCTTCATACGGTGCCATTCTGATGCTGGAATGATAACTATTATTGTAAGAAAACTCCACCAACGGAAGGTACTTGTCCCAACTGCCTCCTTGGTCTAAAATGCAAGCTTGCAACATATCCTCCAGAACCTGAATAGTGCGTTCAATATGACCATCGGTTTGCGGATGATAAGTAGTGCTCAACCTCAAATGGGTTCCGAGAGCTCGTTGAAAAGACTCCTAAAACTTAGAGGTGAACTTGGGATCACGATCACTGACGATACTGGTGGGAACTCCATGCAACTTCACAATCTCATGAAGATAAATCTGGGCAAGCCTTTCTGTATTATAAGTCGTTCAGATACTCAAGAAATGAGCTGCTTTTGTCAACCGATCAACAATTACCCAAATGGCGTCAAATCCTTCTCGCGTCCGAGGAAGTCCAACTACAAAGTCCATGGCAATACTATCCCATTTCCATTCGGGAATTTCCAGAGGTTGAAGAAGTCCCGAGGATTTCTAATGTTCATACTTCACTTTCTGACATGTAAGGCATCGAGCTACATACTCCGCAATATCATGTTTCATTCCCGGCCACCAAAACGAAGTCTTTAAATCATGATACATTTTAGTGGATCCAGGATGAACGGTATAATTACCCTTATGAGCCTGTTGCAGCATTTCTTGTTTCAGTTCGTCATTCGGTACTACCAACCGACCTTGAAATCTCAACATTTTATTTTCATCCCAAACTACATCTTGGAAACCAGCCAATTTATGGACTAGTTCCTCATCTCTTTGAGCCCTCTTTATTCTACGGAGTAACTCATTCTCCACTTTGATTCTGCCCAACCTTTTTCCATGTCTTCTTCTGATAACAGACAAGTTCAGATCCCTAAAAGCTTCAAGTAGTTTTAGTTCTTCCATCATCAGGGTTGCAGTATGGAGAGTCTTCCGACTCAAAGCGTCAGCTACAACATTTGCCTTACCTGGATGATATTTAAGTTCGAACTCATAATCTTTCAAGAATTCCATCCACCGTCGTTTCCTCATGTTTAGCTCCTTCTGATCAAACAAATATTTCAGACTCTTGTGATCGCTGAAAACATCAAATTGTGAGCCATACAGATAATGTCTCCAGATTTTTAGTGCGAACACTATAGTTGCCAACTCCAGGTCATGAGTAGGGTAATTCTCCTCGTGAGGCTTTAATTGTCGTGAGGCATAAGCTACGACCATCCTGTTAGTATTTGGGTGTCCTAGAGACAATCTTATGATTAAATAAGGACATAGATGTAGACCTTTTTAATATTGTCGCAAATAAATAAAAGCACTATTTATCTTGTTTCATAATTCTGTCTCGATATTAATGTTAATATATTATGAATAACTTGATAAACCCCGTGGAATAAAATATGTATCTCTTGAATATCTGTGATGAGATCACGATCATGAGGATTCAAGAATACTGGATGCTTATTCCTAATATTATGTTCCTAGTCTAGAGATACTGAGAATGGGGTCAGTAATCTCGGGTAAGACTAGCATGACTTATCTACTTGTATATGGATACAAGGTATAGACCTCATGTGCTACAGATATGGAGATGTCTTAGCTAAAGTCATGGGTGGACCTATAAGAGTATAACTCGCACTGAACAGACCCACAAAGAGACTCTATGAGGAAATCTCACAGATAGTATCATTAGAGTAGTCTCTTTATATTTGGGTATGTCTTTCCTTAGACCAGAAGTTATCACTTAGACTGTGTTCTAGAAGGCATGCTTTGACTGTATACCTCGTCTTCCTAAAACATGGAGATTCATAGGTATGCTCTTGGGCTTGTCCTGATAGGGCACAGGGCTAGGGTGATAAGCTAAAGGAATTCGTGAAATCTCTGTGAGAGATTAGGTTATCCTTAAATCGGAGAAATCGGGATGACATTTACAGTGACTCGGGAATCTATGCATAGTAAAAGAGATCATAAGATGATCTGCCTTTAGAGTCAGTAAATTGAAGACTCCCTATTTCATAAAAAACTAACCCTAAACCACAAGGGATGATACGTTTCTTTACCCTAGGTTTTATGGGAAGGTAACCGAGACGAAGGGACAAACATACGGCAACCAAATATGTTTAATAGGATGATCAAATCATTAATCTAACTAATTCTGGGGCAACAAAGCATTGCTAGTGCTCTGTGTTGTCATTAGATGGGTTGTGGGCTTATTGGGCCCAAGCCATTTATGTCAGTGGCTATGTTGGACCTAATGGGTCACACACAAACACCTAATTGTCTAGATGCTCTAGCATTAAAAGTATTGGGCCTTATAATAGTTATTAGCCCAAGAAGTAGTTTGGAACTCCACCTAAAGGGGTGGAGGGCACATGGTTAATGTAATGAGCTTGGATAGTCCAAGTCATTACTAATTAATTTAATTAGTTAAATTAATTAATTATCAAACATTTAAATTTTGAATTTTGGAATTTAAAATTTGAATTTTGAAATTTAAATTTTGAATTTGAATTTTGAAATTTGAATTTTGAATTTGAAATTTGAAATTTGAAATTTGAATTTTGAATTCGAAATTTTGAATTTTGAATTTTGAATTTTGAATTTTGAATTTGAATTTTGAATTTGAATGTTTGAAAGTTTAAATTTGAATATTTTAATATTTGAATTTAATAATTAAATTAGAATTGGCTATGAAAATTGTTTCATTACGAAAAAGGATAAGATAAGATCTTGTTTGAAAAAGACAAGATAAGATCTTGTTGGAACATAACAAGATTAGATCTTGTTGGAACATATCAAGAGAAAATCTCTTGGACATAATCCAAGGAGATATGGGGCGCTAATATGGCTAATGATTAGTCATTAGTATCAGCTGCAGAAGATACAATCTATTGAGAGAATATTTGAGTGATTCGATTACTCAAATGTATCTGGTCATTATTTAGGCTATATGGGGCGCACCATATAACTGATTATATGATGATTTATGATCAGATATTTGATTAGGTTTTGAACCTAATATATCATAAAGATATGATAGGATGTTGTTGGCAAGATTTGATGAGATTTGATTTGCAACAAATCCTATTCTCTCTCTCTTTGATGAAGCGCCCTTTTGGAAGGGATTTTTATTGATTAAAAAAATCTGATTTGTTTTTAACAAATAGGCTCCTCTTGTGCGCCTCTTTATATATGTTCCTTCTAGGGGTTTTTAGAAAACTAACCAAGCCATTCTCTCCTAATTTCCTGCGCCACTTTTGTGAGGTTTTCTCTCAGAAAACTTCACTCTTCCAAACACTTTTACATAGCCTCCTCTCATCACACATTGAGCGAATAGCAAGCCTCTTTGTGGTGATCAATTGGCGGCTTTACTGGAAGGAGTTCCTGTATCTAGACGCAGGTGGTGTGGATCAACGTTAGAGGGTCTGAACCCTTCAGACCTACCTTTGATCGTCTTGAGTTTTTCACGAACAAGGTATGACATACGTCTTAAAGTATGTATCTTGATATGCATGTGTATTCCGCTTGCGGAAAAATTTTGTTTTTCCCCTCTCACATGCTACGGCCTTCAAGGCCCTCTTTTTACTTTCACATCCGATCTTGCATCAACACACAACCAAGTCCCTTCAAAGACGCCTCACAGTACACTTCAAACTTTCTAGTTGGGTCCGGAATAGTAAGCACCAGAGCACTGGTCAATCTACCTTTTAGCTCCAAGAAACCTTCTTCACAAGCGTCAGTTCACTCAAAAGGCATTCCCTTCCGAGTGAGACAGGTGAGAGGCTGTACTAACTGAGAGAAATTCTGGATGAATCTACGATAATAGCCTGCAAGTCCCAAGAAACTCCGCACTTCAGTGATGGTCTTAGGTCGCTCCCAATTCATTACTGCTTCCACCTTGCTGGGATCCACAGCAATACCTTCTGCTGAAATTATGTGGCCCAAGAACTGGACTTCACTTAACCAGAACTCACACTTCGACCATTTGGCGTACAACTGTTTCTCCTTAAGGATTTGTAAAACTATCCTCAAATGTTCCGCATGCAGTTCTTCATTGGTAGAATAAATCAGAATGTCATCGATGAATACACTAACAAACTGATCTAAGAATGGGCAAAAGATACGGTTCATATAATCCATGAATACCGTCGGAGCATTAGTAAGTCCGAACGGAATCACCTGATATTCATAGTGACCATATCGAGTTCTAAAAGCTGTTTTTGGATTGTCCTCCGGTTTGACCCGGATTTGATGATATCCCGATCGCAAGTCTATTTTGGAAAACACCCTGGCACCTCTCAACTGGTCCATCAAATTATCAATCCTAGGAAGCAGATATTTATTCTTCACTGTGACCTTGTTCAGTTGACGGTAATCCACACACAAACGTAGACTACCATCCTTCTTCTTAATAAGAATGGCTGGAGCACCCCACAGAGAAGTACTGGGTCTGATGAATTCTTTTGACAAAAGCTCTTCTATTTGTTTCTTCAGTTCCCGAAGTTCCAAAGGTGCATACGGTAAGGAGCAATAGAAATAGGTCCAACTGCAGGAAGAAGTTCAATGGGAAATTCTATCTCCCGGTGAGGAGGTAATCGAGGAATTTCATCGGGAAACACCTCCTCGAATTCGTTAACAACCGGAATATTTTGAAGTTGAGTATCAACTGTACTCTCAGACTCAATCAACAACAGATACCCTTCAGCTCCCCGAATGAGTTCTTTTCTAACTTGCAATAAAGAAATAGTAAAAAAAAGACTAAAAATTACCATCTTTCGAAGGAACAATCCAAAGTTATTCCGTTCTCCGCAACCAGTCCATACCGATAATCACCTCAAGACTGAATACCGGTAGAACCACTAAATTCACTGTATAAGTACTTCCTTCAAATTGCAGAATACAACCCCTGCAGATTTCTGATGCGGTACAAGATCCTCCAGTAGGAGTACTGATTTGTAACTCATAAGGTAACGGAGCCGGGGTGATACCTATTCTAATTGCAATGTGCCCCACAATAAAAGAACCTGATGCTCCAGAATCAAAAATAACAGAAAGAGGATAACCATTCAAGATTACATTACCTCGGATCAGATTTGGATACTTTTGAGCTTCATTTGCATCAAGGGTGAACACCCAAGCTTGAGTAGGATGCTGATTCGCATTCTGTGGGCAATCAGAAATGAAATGTCCTGGTTGTCCACACCGGTAGCACAAATTATTCCCGCGTCGGCATACGCCAACATGATTCTTACCACAAGTGGTACAAGCATTGGGACCCTGTCTTCCGGCTGATGATTGTCCAGGAGCATTATTCCTCTTGAAGTTCCCAGTCCGAGGTTGCAACTGCGGACCCTTGCCTCTATTCATTCCGGTATTCTTTCTGAAGAACCGGCCAACTCTACTTCCTCCTTGCGATTGCACTGGCTGTTTAGACAGATTCTTAGCTTCATTTATAATTTCTTCCGCTTGCCGGCTCTGATTCATCAATTCAGGCAGAGTACGATTTGTTGTAGTCAACATAAGCTTGCGGATCTCTGGGTGCAGTCCACTTTCATATTTTTCCACCTGCCACTCTTCATCATAGATGTTCCGATCCAAATTAGGATACTCCATCAGCTGCCCAAACTTAGCAATATATTCATTGACAGTCATATTATTCTGTCGCAGTGCCAGCAACTCAGTGTGTTTCATTCTCCTCATAGCCTTAGGGAAATTCTTGTCAAGAAAAACTAATCTCAACACCGCCCAAGTCAGATCAACATGTTGTGCTCGAAGCAAAGCCCTTGCACTCGTCCACCAAGTCAAGGCTTCATCAATCAGCTGATACGAGGCATAGTCAACCCTGTGTGCTTCAGGACATCCCATACGTCCAAAGATGTGTTCAATCATCTGCAACCATCTTGCTCCAATCTCCGGATTATCCCCACCTTCAAACGTAGGTGGCTAAAAATTTCGGAAGTCTTTCAACCTTCGCCTAGCAATTTCCTCAGCATTGTCATGCATCTGGGGTTGGTTAGAATTCTGAGTTCTATATTCTCGCCACTCTTGACTCATGTTCTGGACAAAGGTGGCCAACCCCCCAACAGTAGTGATAAGGTCATCAGCTGCATTGCTAGGTCTTCCCTGAGTAGAACCCCGTGTACCTGCCATGTTTCTGCACAAACAATACCACGAAATGAGCTGATCAGACTCACTGCAAGATATACATGACAGCAATCCCAAGTAGGTACTCGAGTTCTAATCAGATAAGTTAACAATGCATCTGTCCCCATCACTGTATAATTCTAACATCCTAGTTATAACAATTACTATATCTCAAACAATTCAACATTTAATTCAGCATTCTATCACACAACAACCAGCAAACAATTTAACAGTCACTTGCAATCAGCAGACAATTCAGCAAGCATGTATAAACAGCAAATAGTTCAACAATCATACAGACACCACGAACCAAAACTGCTCTGATACCATTTAGTGTGACACCCTCCCCTGTATGCATCCAAGGGAGATGCCTGCTAAGCGGATTAGAGTGGCAACGTCATCGAATTAAATACTGAAACTGCATTATTAAGTCACAAATTAAAACCTTGTGTTGAAATCTAGTTGTTCATGAAAACAGTGGAAAATTTGGTGAAACACATTGCTTGCTGAAATTGTTATTTTTCCAGAAAACCTTTCTGTCTTGAAAAAATCATATAATATCGAATTCTCAGACTTTGGACACAAAGTTTCTATAATCCGAAACTAGACATCTGGGGCTTTACGTGCATATAAATTATATGTCAATCGTAGGTCTGTAGCCCCAGAAACAGAACTCGCAAAGTGCTCGCTAAATCATTTTCAAAATTCAGAATTTAAAACGGGCAGAAATCGTTTTGACAAAATAAACGCCGGAATTACATAAGTCTTAAGCAATTACAACAATCAGACTACAACATGTTCCAAAACAGAATACTAAATTTAATTTGTCAACTTCCAAAATACTACATAACGTCAAGATTCAGCAAACAGCCAATAAAATAACGAGCAAACATCATGATTTTAAACAGCAGCACTCAACAGCAAATAACCAAAATAACTACGTCATCAAATGCTTCTTCATCCTCCTGCAATTTTATAAAAATTGAGCCCCAAGAGAGGTGAGAAAAATCCCAGTAGTGTGATAGCAAAACCAGTAATGCAACAGTATTAGTTTAGATACAGAATTTCCAAACAGTTGCATCATCAAAATTTTCCAAACAGATACTAAAATCTAATCAGAGTGCGTATATAACGCCAGAATACTATATGTTCATAGCACTAAGGTGCACATACTAGCTTACACGGTGGAGATTCCATTTGGCCCTAACAGAGGGGAATTCCAACTGCGACCTATGCGAACTGAGCCACGATTCCTTCTCCCTGGTACCTGAGGGATGCCTACATGATGCGTGCTCAAACATATGCTTAGTTTTATCAAATATTTTGATTTCCAAAACTGCATGTAAATGGATGTATGAAATGCTATGTTTTGCTTCACACACATATGACAAAATGCAATTTAATGATGTTCATGAGTATAACTAAAAATCAAAATCAGAAAGCCATAGTTCACCTGAATTATGACACCAAAAATTCGAGCATAACATGTCTCCAAAACAGAAGTTTAACAAGGCATTTCCAAGATCAACTTACACATATTTTTCAAACGGAATTTCGTGGTGACATGAGAGCAACAAATCAAAAATTCATGAACTAAACTAATAGTCACAAAAGGTTTAACCACCTAACACTTACCTTGTGTGTCCAAATATTTACCAAACAACACCAAAATCAGCCCACACTCTAGGAATTATGCGCACCTAAGCAAGTGTACAACAAGTCAGAATTTTGTGCATGTTATCCTATAATTTATAATCAATTCTCATGCGTCCCAATTCTTGTATTTTAATCGGTTTACCAAGATCCTTATACTAACCCAATTTCTGACTTCATATTAATTTAATAACTTGTTAGCAGTAATAAAATCCAAGGTCTTCCAACACATGCAGATTCGGTTTTCATCATTAAAAAGATGCTCAGGATTTTTTTTTGTTACATAACCATTTCTTCTCAGCCTATGGTGCGCTAAGGGGGACCTAATGCATGCTCTCCAAGTAAGTTTAATTCATGCAAGGCTAGGTACAACAATCTAGTCCAACAAAACATTTTCCCCAATTATGGAGGCTACATTTCAAGCTCCAAAAAATCAATTCTTTGTGCTTGTAAGCACTAGGTCCAAGCAGTCACAAGGGCAGAAGCAAAAGAGTTAGAAGTGACAAAAGCTAACCCCCCTTAAAATACACTTGCAAGGGTGAACAGTGGAAGAGGAAAGGTTGAGGTTAGACTCACCTCCTTGTGTGTACCCAAAAATCACTAATCGGCCAAGAGGATAACAGCCAAGGAATGAACAACACCCTCCACCTTCTTATGCTCCAAGATTTTGTATTTTAGCTACATGCAAACAGAGAAATGGCTCCATCAAAACCGAGTGGAGTGTGTAGGAACAAGGAAGGGATGAACACCTTACCTTCTTGCTAGTGGTTGTTCGGCCGAATAGGGAAAGAGGAGGGAAGTGGAAGCTTATGCAATGGTTCCTCCCCTAGTGGTCTCACGGTTGAGTGGAAGAAGATGGGAGGAAAGAATCATGAAATCTTGGTTCTTTGGTGTTCGGTCTAGGTTTGTGTAGGAGTGGAGAAGGAATGAACATACAAGCTGAAGTGCTTTGTGGTCCTTGGCTTAGGAGTCTTACGGTTTGAGAGAGAAATTAATTGGCCGAGTCATAGTTCTGAATGGAGATAAAGGAGATCAGCCTTATTGCTGCTTCACAATGCGCATAGGAGTGGGGAGATAATGGTTTGCTTCTTGTCCAATGGGAAGACATGCATACAGATTGCTTTCTCTCTTGCTAGGCGCACATGGAGAGATAATGAGGAGTAAGTGAGTTGCTTTTCTTTCATTAGTTGCATGGGAGGTATGAGGCTGACTTGGTTTTAGATACATAGACAAGAAATCAACTTGCTTTTTCCTTATCCTAGGCGCACATGTAGTGAGGGAATGAGGCAGATTTCGGACAAAAGGATAAGTGGTTAATTCTGCCCACTAGCATTGCATGCATTCTGATTCCTTTTGGTTAAATTAATGGATTTCAAGTTTTCAGATTGTTAAGATAAGTTACTTGATCAGCCAAGTGTTAGGATTAGAAGGGAATGGGGCTGATTTAATGCTTCAATGATGAAGCTTGGGCCGCAGCCCATAGAGAAGAAATAGGACTCACTTTAATTCCCTAATGAATATTATTTCATTTAACTACTAGGTAGTAACTAAGGTTTATATATATATATATATATATATATATATATATATATATATATATATATATATGATTATAATTCATCATATCCTTCTTATGCTTGAAATTCGATCTCTTATCATGCATTCAGATTCATAATTGCATTTTAAATCAACTTCCTAATTATGCGGGTTGTTACAGAAGTCCAAGGAAATGCTCTCCCATTTCCATTCCGGAATCTCTAGAGGTTAAAGCTTACCAGAAGGCTTCTGGTGTTCTATCTTCACCTTCTGGCAAACAAACATATGGGCATGAAATCAACATTGTCCCTCTTCAAACCAAGACACATCGGCCTGGTCTCATAAAGTCCAGGCACTCTCTCTGCACTTGCGCCTATTAGATCTTCTCCAAAAGCTCATTCTTGACTCTCACAGTCTCCGTCTCGAGAAGTACACCCCCAAACAAGGAAGTCACCGTCAAAACTCGAAACTTCACAAAGACATCAAAAGCGTAATCACCAGTCACTCTCTCAATAGAGGTGACCTAACCCCACATACTCAAATCCACACTAAACTTGAGCGAGTTTGGTCCTATTCCATGACTCTAGCCTCAACAAGACTTACAATTTAAAATCAACATCCTCAACATAAATTCATATTCATTTCACGGTACGAAATTATAATCATGTTCATTTCAACCAATACATGTTATTTAACATATTCATTCACATAATAACGTACCTTAGTTCGCGTACACCTGCAAAATTTTCAAATTTAATAACATAATAAATCAAAACTCAATGCAACGGTATACCTCAATCTCCATGGTATCTGCAAAATCGAGAGTCAATTAAAGGTGAAAAAACATTGATACATTACCACGATTTATCGTACTTATTTCATGCTTTACACTACTCCAGGTGTTAACATGCCAACTACTTATGAAGCATATTAATAATCAACATAAGAACCTAGAGTCATGGAGACCACTCAACCCACAAACTACTTGTACATGCACAAAACTCACATATACAAGATCGCGCGTGGCCTTGCCACAAAGTTCAAGTGTTACACACTTAAATTCCCTGAAGAGAAATTCACTTTCTCAAACAAGGCACCATCACGATTAAGTAATGGCGTAAGGCCTCTTACCTTAAAACAAAATTAACTGGTGCTCCCCAGGGAGACACGCTCGGTCTAAAGAAGTCTTTCGCCAAAAGATCTTCAATGCGCTTCTTCAGCTCCGCCAACTCCGGTGGGGATATTTGGTATGAGCTAGAGAAATAGGCCCCACACCAGACAACAAATCTCCTCGGAGAACACTTCGAGGAATTCCCTCACCACAGGAACGCCAGCAATATCCTCCTGTGTCCCACTCACCAACCTTCCAACATGACATAATCAATGTCCCTGCTCACAAGGCTCTCCTAGCCCATAGCAATGAAATAAAAGGCGAGGAACTGGCTGTGGAATCACACGGAGACATCACCATACGCTAGGCACAACAATCAATCAATCCTTCAGTCGACACATGACTATAGGATGAACCATCC